GTCATAGTTCAAATGAGATGGGTGGTGTTTTTCTAGCCCAGCGAAACATTTGTATCTATCTGTGGTCCACACACGAATCGGTACATACTCAGCTAGATGCGTAAACGGTCAGGTGAAAATATGAACTATTCGACTTTTCTGGTTGACACTTTTGTTCGTGCCATGTTTATTGTTCAGGAATTTGTATGAGGGAGATGTTATACGAGTTTTTTATTCTCTTCTGAGGGTTACAAAACATTGTTTAGATTTGTCTTGTAATTACTGTTCATTTTTGAACTAACCTGCTTCTTTGATGGTTCCGTGCTAACCCCAGAGGAGTCAGTTTTCTGTTTTTTGGCACCTGATTAGCGCAGTTGACTGTTTAATGTTGTTTCATGTATGGGCTTCATTTCGGCGCACATTCGCTTGATAAGCCATCCTAATTCTAAAAATTCAATCTTTCTTGTTGTTCTCAGTTCGCTTTTTCTAGTTTCGCTCTGAATTCCTGTGCCAGTTTAGACCCTAATAGAATTTTGATGACTAAGTATATCAGAAATCCCCCACAGTGGTTTCTGATGGCCTAAAGATGTCTCGTTGTCATACTGGTGCACCAGTACTTTCTTCCACCATGATCTGCGCGCTCGAACTTCTGAACGAGACGAGGAGGACATCAGTAACAAGTTTTTGAATTGAAATTCAAGTTGTGTTATTCGACTTTCCAGTGAATTTGCACAATATGAGGTTTCTCCGCCTTAAAATTTAAGCCATTTAAGTTTGAATTCTATTGTAAATTTAGCTGTAGACCTACCGTTTCTGCGATGCCTTTTGGAGCCATTCCTAATGATTGTCTTCGTTTCACTTCATTGTTTTCGATTTTTTTTGCTACTCTGTCTCACAGCAAGGTGATCCCGTCTTAGCGGATCAGTGCCCCATTGAATCCCGATTCATGCTCGTGATCAGCGTTTCCTGGTCCAGGTCTCGACAGTAGTCGATACCAGATTTCACGGTGCAAGTGTGTTGTGTATTTTGTCACTGTTGGCATTTAGAACGAATGTGCTCATTCCAGTTTTCACTACAGCTTGGTTCGTGTATGTGGGGTCGGGGTTCTTTGAGTGTCATAGCCTCGACTGTGAGTTGTTTAGGGGGGGGCATCAATAAGTCGCACGTATGTGCCTGCCTCATTGATTGAACTGCTATCCAACGGCTTGTTATTCTATTCTTCTTTTCCTTAGATTCCAAGACGTGGCCACTGGTAATTCATCCGTAGCATCACAAGCGCCTCTAGGCCAAAAAAGGTATGTTTGCTCCTCACGAGAGATTTCTATCCGTTTGAGTCCTGGTTACCGTTAGTACTGCTGGTTTCTTATCACAAAGTTTTGCTTAATTGTGAACTGATAACATTGTTTTTATACGAATTTTCGGTCGGTTTCATACATTTTCTTGTTTAGCTAAAGACATTTCGTTTGCCGTACTTATTTCATTTTTTCTATTTTTGGATAACGTCTCGAAAACCTGTCGTTTTAATTTTTAATTATCCAACCGCACCAACTTAATGGAGGTTTTCCAGTGTCGTTATGAACTAAGGAACAATCTCCGCGCATGTTTCACATGGATTATTCTATTTCTTTTCGGGTCGATTTAATTTTGAACATGCGACTACAAGCACCAGTGTTTACAGTCACGACAGGCTCCTCCATTTACATGCGTATCCTGTTGTGAAAATTCTCACAGACTGTAAACCCGGATGAATTGCTTCTTTTTTCTAGCATTCTTTATACTTTATCCATGGTTTCTTTGACGTCCTTCTCCCCAAAGACCACTCAGCGGGTTCATATCCGAACATAGGTTAGTTCTTACACAGCGTTATTTCAATGATCATTGACTTATGAGTGCGAATAATCAGTTAGCTTTTTGTATTTGTACTTATACTGTTAAATGCTAATCAGTCAAATGATAACTTTATGCTTTATTCTACACGGACTGAAACAGTTGCGTAAATTCCGTGGAAACGGTTTTGTAGGCTATCTCATCCTCTGCCACTACGATTGCATGGGGTTCTCGTTTTTCAAAGTTACACCTAATGCTCTTATCATTTTCTTTGTGATTGGAGAGTTACGNCCCGATCAGATTCCCCATACCTGTCTATGACGTCCTGCCGAGTAGCGGCATCGGTCGACCGATCAATTGCGGTGGTAACTAGTTTCGTACCACCTTGATGACCAAAATTTGTATTATTGAACCTAATGGAATTTGTTCAGGCTACCGGTCGCATCAGCGTTCTTATCATTTTGATCACTTTTTTCTACTCGTCAGTTTAGTGGCTATACATGGCTTATTTACGCAAACTGTTTTCACAACCCTTTTCTTTTTTCTCTCTCAAAGCTCATATGGTCTTTTCAGCAGTTTCCTGGGAGAGAAAACCGTTACGCAACGCTGGGAAGTGAGTAGTCCTCCATACATTTGGTTGTTGATATGTTTCAACTGTTGCGGTTTGTTATTGATGGTTTGCGTAGTAATGTTGTTTGAGTATCGTAACTCTTGGGTAATACAATTTGCAACTGAAAAATCGCATAGCATAGTAGCTGCTTTCAGTTTGTTAGAAATCACAAATTCTTGAAACGAAGATTTAACTCATTCGGTTCCGATTCGCATGCTACTGTAACTGAGCCACTCAACGATGTTACCTTAATCACGCCACCGTACTCCATTGTTGCATGCTTGGTACCGTGCCCAAAAGTTCCAAATGGCCCCTTTGTATCATTTCATGCGAAAAGACCCTATTAGGAATTCAGAACTCGGACCATCGGATAATTCGTTTTCACAAGAAGAATGCAATGGTGCGATGCTCAATAGATTGTCTCGCCGTGGACGAAGTAGTTGTTCCGTGCCTTCTGTTGGTCACTGCATCAATAATGTGACACAACTCAGTTGTTTTGATGCTCCCCATCTTAGAACTCTCCAGCGCTGATCAACTTTTTGTCACTTATTTTGTCCCTGTTCATGCTCTGATAAATTGTGAATTATTTTCAAATCCAACCTTCACTCCATTTATCTTCTGACTCTTTCCTTGGAGGCACACATATTCTTGATTTATAATCTAAGGATGCATAGTCTTTTCCCAATACTCATAGCAATTGACCCAAGTATATTTGTGAAAGCGATTGAGTCTTTCCAGTGTTCACAACCATTAACGTTACATTGTCTTGTGACAGTTTCTTTCTTTCCTTTACTAATTGATTTCCTGGTAACGCGAGGGATTCAAACCCATAAGCACCCAAAATAAAGATACAAGAACCAATAAAATTAGTTCTGCATAAAAGTGGTAGGTCACCAGTGTCTATGTTTACACCACTCAACGGTAATACTCGGTGTGTTTATCGACTAGACTAATCGCTAGGTGCCTAAACCGGAATGCCAATGGAACCTTCGTGACCGATTCCTCTGTTAAGGGTTTTCGTATCCTCGTAACTGGTTTGACCTTGTCCCACCCTTTACCTGTGCCGGCCATCTTAATCTACGAAGGTCAAGCACCCGGTCCAGTGCGTGACCATGTTTATCTTAAACTCTGTACCTAATCTTGACCTGCTTATCCGGTCGTTTCACCAGACTCTTGTAATGCGGCGTCAACAGAAATATCCCAATATCAAAAGTATGTTTTTGTCTTTCTCCTCCAACGACCGTGTCTCCGCACCAGTAGAATAGGCCAGACAGCTGCAGGATCTACTCGACCCTGCACGAACCGCATTTCGCAGTTTCGCTGAAAGTGGGAAAATTCAACCGAGCGTTCCGTGTGCATGCCGACACTGTGTCCTACATTCGTCTTCCGGGTGAAATGCAGCTGCCTAAGTATAAAGATTGGCCTACTTTCACCGTTGCCCTCTCTGTCATGGTCAAACTGGGAGCTGGGCCTACCCACTCTTGCAACGCCTGCTGAACACAATTACGCTAACACGATAGCCATTGAGAAAAACATCCCAACTGCAAGGATTCTCACTTAGCACTACATTGTCATTTGCATACTCTAGATGAGGTAGCCTGCCAGGCAGTGAGTTTAGCTTACTCGACAGAACTTGTTTGAGATGCTTGGTTCCATTTCGTTAAATGCAAGGAAAGTATGATCAGTCACCACCACACCTACCTCCGACCGTACTGAGACGGTCGGAGGCACTGCAATATTTTGACAAGCATAAACTTTAATATCACTAAAAGAGGTGGACGGGGATCGTGAGAGAGTTGGACGGAGATAATGTGAAACGTCAAACTGAATCGGGTCACATTCATGACGATGTCGAATAGTGCTGCATAAGGATCATTTCCGTAAATACAAATGTCTTTAAAAGGCATCGAATCAAAATGAAATTCAACAAAAATAGGCCAGGGAAGATTCCAGTTGAATATTGACTCTAGTAGCATTAAAACCAACTCTCTATATCAAAGCATTTTTTTCAGATATATTTATACATACTTCGTCTTTAGCGACTGCTCATCCCTACTGCGCAAAAGCAGCCGTCGATTTAAACCCAGCAGTGCACTTCTGGTTGTGTCCCATCGCAGTGTGTTGAAATATTGTCATCTAAACCGGCGATTGGAAGCGCCACGTTTTGGGGATGTGTAATCAGAGTTGAACTGTCACCGTCACAAATGCGTCCAATAGTGAACGGCTTCTGATTCACATGTCATCTCACATCTTTTTATGTACAATAATAGATCTCAACTTTGTGTAACTGTATGCTTATAATCGATAAGAGTCCACAGAATCTTCTCTTCCTACTGAAATGTTCTTTTCAATTCATTTTCATGATAGGGTCCAGTTAATGGAGTTTATTTCTTCTGAAACTTTACTCGGTTTTATTTTTTTTTTACTTCAAGTCAGGAAATTTAGCTTTTACTTCCCATTGTGCTTGTACCTGTGAGTAAATTATTTTGCCTCAATCTAGCATCGATATATCCCATTTGGTTGATCCAGTCTACTCTTATTTTTGCCTCGTTTTCGCTCGATTTAGCGCGGAGAGCTAAGCAACTTCCAGTATCTCATGTACCTGAACACCCAAGCTGGGCGCTCTTACAACGATTTGATGCAATACCCGATTTTCCCCTGGGTTTTATCCGATTATGACTCGGATGAACTGGATCTGTCCAGACCAGAAACGTTCCGTGATCTTTCTAAACCGATGGGGGCACAGACTGCACGTCGACTCAGTCAGTTCGAACGTCGCTTCAAAGAGTGGGATGATCCTTCCGGTGAAACACCTCCCTACCACTACGGTACGCACTACTCTTCGGCCATGATTGTGGCCTCGTATCTGGTCCGAATGGAGCCTTTCACACAGCAGTTCCTCCGTTTGCAGGTATGTTCGCTCTGTGAAAACACTACGGTGCATATACTCTGCAAATGTGGCTGGTGAACAAATTCTGTTATTTCATTGTGCCGGTATTTTGTAGGCAGATATGATTTGGTTGATTCCTAAGCTGGATCAGTGTACACAGACTGAAACTTTTTCTGTCTGCGACTGATGCAGTGTGGATCTTTCTTCACAACTCACCTATCTGGAGGTTGTTCTGGATTTGTGATTATTTATTACAGTACGATCTTTGACATGGCCGAATATGTTTCATGGTTATTTTGAAATGTCTATGTTGTTCTCTACCACTGACAACCAAAACCGGTTACATGACACCCTCAATGAGAATATCTCTGCTTTGTATAGTCAGTATCTAGTTCGTTGAATGTCTCATATTTGTTGTCTAAGCCTAACCCAGAACAGATTACTGACTAATCGTGGTGCGTTAGTGGCAAAATGTGCATCTCTCATATTATCACTCTGGGTGTTCCGTGATCCCTGCAGGAGTTGCTACACAGTACTGTCGTTCCACCTAAAGTATGCTATTGTTCTATTCCCTTTCAACTGCAAAGGGTATCACCTATGCATGTTTGTTTCCTAAATTTCTTCCATTCCTTTCTTTGATCCTCCGCTCCTTAGGGTGGGCATTTTGATCTGCCAGATCGAATGTTTCACAGTGTGAAGGATGCATGGCTCAGCGCCTCACAACATAACATGGCCGATGTGCGTGAGCTCATCCCGGAGTTTTTCTACCTCCCTGATTTCCTGGTCAACTCAAACAGATTCGATCTGGGCATCAAACAGAATGGAGTGGAAGTGGACGATGTGACTCTTCCTCCGTGGGCCAAATCCGATCCACGGGAATTCATTCGTGCGCATCGTGAGGTTAGCCCGTTTGCTTTCTGTCGGACTAACAAGCATGTTGCTCCTGACAAATATCCTATAGTTTCGATACTTTGCTGTTTTGCTGAGTTAATTTATTTTATCTACTGACGAAGTGGAAGTGGTGGACAGAGTGCCGACCAACTACTTTGTACAACTCGTCAACAGGGTGCTTTACAGTTTTGCCCCTGATCGAGACCCTAACCACGATCATTTTAAATGGAAAGTAGACTTCCTTATCCATGGGTCTTGGAACTGTGGAATGCATTTGCACGGCTTTGGGTTTTCCATGACTGTACTAACCCAAAAAAGAAATGTGCGATACAAGGTGGTGAAATGGCAAGGTACTCGTTCGGAAAGTCCCATTTGTTATCTGCTCAGTTCAGCCCATCATGTTTTGAAAATTTCCATGCAATGTTTTGAACTATATTGTGTTTATTTTACCTTCGTGCCAGCAATCACTGCTTTATACTTTGTACGTTGAAGAAGTCATTAGGTCAAAATTTGTGCCAAAACGGAGCGCCCCATTCAGTGACAGACATCCTCGGATTACTCAATGTTCCGCGGCTAATCTCATCATTGCTGCTGCTGTGATTGTACGCATTTCGCTTCCTGAACTTGAACCATGCTTCGGAAATAACAATGTCAGCAAACAAAAAGCCCCATCTCGGGGGCTTGTTTTCCTTTCTCGACTGTCAGTCATATTCACTGCCTGTTACATGACTGGTATATATATATATATACATAACACCCAGGTCTCGTTCGCAAGATGTTCTGCTCAGTGTGGTTCCCTGGAAGTTGTAGAATACCTCTGAGTCAGCACGTCCCAAACGCAGGTGAGCACACTTTGCTGTGTTGACTGGAAGAGATTAGGTGTCCCCCCACTGAGCCAGGTTATTCAAATCCGCTTGAAGAGAACTTCGATCATTCGGATACTTGATTGTACGCCAGATTTTGATGTCATCCGCATACATGAGGGATGGGCTGCACAGTCGACCAGGCAGGTTGTTCGCATAAACCACAAAGGGCAATGGACCAAGAACCGAGCCTTGGGGGACCCCACTGGGGCGGAATATCCCGCAGAGAGCGATTTGCCAACACGGACGCAGAATTTCCGATCGATGAGGAAGTCTCGCAGCCAATTCCGCATTACCACACCTACACCTAGGTTGAACAGCTTTCGCAGAAGGCGGTCGTGCGGCACTTTGTCGAAGGCTTTGCTGAAGTCCACGAAGATGATGTCCGTTTCGTCTCCTTTGGCCTTGTCCTCGGTCCAGCATTCACGTGCAAGTAGCAGATTTGAGAGGCATGAGCGACCCGGCCGGAAACCGTGTTGTTGGTGGCACAGGTGACCGTGGCACGCCAAATGCTGCCGAAGCCGTGCAGCCACTAGTTGCTCCATTACTTTACCCACAATGCTAGTAAGACTGACTGGTTGGTATTTCCCAGGGTCACTCCTATCCTCAACTATGGGCAGTGGAACATTGACAGCGTCCTTCCACTGCTGCTGTAAACGCCCTTGAGTGAATGACAAATTGACTGGGTTGCACAGTGGCGCTGTAAGTTCATCTGCCAGCTCCTCCAGGATCAGCGGATATACACCATCAAATTCAGGTGACTGGTGAACCTGTAGTCGACGCAGCTCCAGGGCCACCTCTCCGATGGTAAATGGGGCCCATTTCAGCGCAGTGTCAGTGTCCAGTAGATGTGCCAGNCCCCATCTTTGGCGAGAGTCGGGAGACCAGGCGTTGCTCTGATTCTTCACCTGAGGTAGGCATACAATCGCTTTGGTGCTTGTATTGAATCCGCTGCTAGTCGTTCCTCGAATCTGGTTCTCTTGCATTTTTTTAGTACAGTACGATGATTCTGAATACATCGATATTCCTCATATTCTGCGCCTGTTGCTCGGTACCTGGACCGAGCTTTATTCCGCTACCGGAGGCACGCCCGCAGTTCTCGGTCCAACTACTGCGGTCCCATAGTTTGTGTTCGTTGGCGGTGAGGTGGAGGGAATTCCAGTACGAGTTGCTCGATTCTATGATGAACCAACTCCCAGGATACATCCACATCCTCAGGGTTCCGGGAATTCCAAT